TGTGTGGTGTTAGAGGGTGGAGGAACTTGTCAGTGTCCTCTTCTGTGGGCAGGTAAAGCTCTTCAAGGCACCACACAGACTCCTGAGTACGATTTCCCATGGGTCCCAGCCAGGTTGCTTTGGGGCTGGGCTGGGAGCCAAGGAGCAGAGCCAAGGGAGGGGAGAAGGGTGGGGCAGCCAGGCGGTGAGGAGAAGTCAATTCCCTGGAGCCTTCAGAGGTCTGGGTCAAAGGCTGCCTGAGAGGCCAAAGGTACAGGTTCGTAGCCTGGATAGAATTTGGGGGTGACATGGTCATTTAACAAGTTCCTGAAAGGAAGAAGGAAAATGGAGTCTTCTTGGGTGCTTTCTCTGTGATGGTTTCTTTGCACATAAAGCCTTGTTGAATTTACTGTGCTACCAAAACTCTTTTCGATGGAGTCTGTCACACACCAAAGCTGAATTCCAGGAGTGTCTACCACAAGCCCCTTGGTGCGTGGTTTGGAGGGCCTGGCTGCCCCTTGGTGCACATAGAACTCTGTCCCTGCAAGGTAAATCCAAATCCAGGCCCCTCTACAGGCTGAGCCTGTGGCCTCAGGCTCACCCCCGACCCACTGAAGTTGCTGGCTCAGGTCAAAGAAAGGTCAAGTCTGCTGCTACTCCTCAAAGCTGGAGTGGAAGCTTGAGCATCAGGAAATATTTAGGGGTACAGGGGCTCACGTAAAAGAGGCCTAAAGACAAAAGTCCATATTTGAGGGGAGAAAAGGATTTCGCCCCCGACGCTGAAAGAATGCCGCATCCCAGCCCTCCCAGAATAAGCACTTTTTCTTTTTTTTCCTTAATGTGGTCATGGGAGCACTTCCAGCTGCCCTCTGAGCAGCCCCTCAGGTACCTGTCTCCTGTTTCCTCATCCCTGTGTAAAATATCATTCTCCTGTCCCATCTCTGATGAGACTCGATTTTCTTCACATCCACAATTTTTATCTTTCCTCTTGAGACACTGAGCCTGCGCTCTGAACTGTCTGAGGTGTGATCTCCAAGCCTCAGGAGAACCCACAAGACAGGCGTCATCTCCCCATTGCAGGGATGTGGGTGCCTGGCCTACATGTCAGGTGAGTAGCACCCATTGGAGGACATCCCTTCAGCCCTCTGAGAGGACACCTGAGGTGACACAGGTTACCTCCATATCCCCTTCAAGGAGCTACCTACCCTGTGAGGTGAGAAGGTCAGCTCCACCCCTTTTTCTTCTCCCCTGCCTTCTGCTCTTGCCCTTCTGCCTTCAGACAAGTTACTTTGTTTCACCCATTGCCCGCTCTCATTGGCTGGGGGGCCAGGACACACTGTGATTGGTCCTTATCCTGTGTGGTACTCTGTCTTCTGGCCCCTAGCAGGAGTCCCGCCTCATTCTGGCTGGTGCCTGGGCAGGTGACTCCTGTCAGCAGTCACTGCCCTCTGGGCTGCGCGGTGAGCAGGGAGTAAGGACATCTGTGCCCACCTTCCTTTGTGTGTGAGTACCATCTAGCCTAAATGCAGCATTTAAGCAGATCGTTGCAGAAAGAGGCACTTGGCCACACAGGTGCTCACGTGCATACAGGTGTTTAAGTGCAGGTGAACAGATTCGAGCCCTGTATCCGAGTAGGTAAACATGTAGGTCTATGGCCGGGCTTTCATGTGTATTTAATATGAATATTTGTAAGATGAGTATTTAGTATGAGTCTTTGTCTCATCGTCACCACCTACATACTTCTGGGAATGATTTTGGATTTTTCAAAACACCACCTCATAAGCCCAGGGGACTAAAGAAGCTTCCTGCCACTCCCAGGACGTGATATGCTGTGGCATGTGCCTCTGTGCCCAACTGAACTGGTGACTCGCTTTGTGGAATGAGCCTTTAAAATGACAGAAAATTTCTCGGGTACAAAAAGGGTGAGGTCGTATTTTTATTTAGTCTAGGCAGTTATTTTTAACCGTCAGCTCTAAGCATGAGGTGATGTTTTCATGAGAAAGTATTTGGTAGGGGAAATGCTGTGCTCTCTGAATGAGGAGAAATTCAGTGAGGCACAACAGCCTGAATCTTCACAAAATGCCTTTTTCCAAGAGCACAGTCACGAGAAGCTCATCTCAGTGCCCTAAATGGAAAGTTTTGCTTAGCAAGCTGAGCTGATGAAGGGGTTGAGTGTAGGGGCAAGTTTTTCAAAGGAAAAATATGGCAAACTCTGGTCATTCTTAGCATAATTCTGGGCCCTACTTTCCACAGAATGACTTGTGGCAGTGACCTGATAGGCCAACAACTTCAAATTTTAACCTACTCGTAGACTCTTCACCTCCTTTATCAAGGAAAGAAATTAAGCCCTCGGCAAAGACACCCCATGTCTGGTTAATGCAAAGCTACAGTTGCCCCCCAGGTTCTGGCCAGTCTGTATTCTAGGTGTCCAGTTCATTCCAGCGACGGGATAGGTCTCTCACCTCAGATCCTTAGCCCTGGCTTCCTCCCACCCACCATCTCTGCACTGAATTTCCTGACTTCTCATAAGCTTCAGAGCTTCAGACGCTCTAACACCCAAGCCCTCTGAACATGCCCAATCTCCTGTGTCAAGCAAGGCTGTCCAGGTCAAACTCTGCGCAATTGGCCAGAAGTGCATGAGGGTGAAGGAATTCACCAGAGACAGAATGGGGACCAGAACAGGTAGATCCATGGAAATACACTGCTGAGGGGAGCAGCAGGTGAAACAGGAGAGGTTTGTTGCACCATAGGTGGGTTAGCTCCCTGGCTGGGGATTGAACTCAGGCCTTCATGGCAGGCCACCAGGGAGGCCCTATGTGTAGGATATTTAAAACAGCACGAAGTCAAACCAAGTTCAACCTCTCTGTGACTGGATTCTCCCCGTCAAGCAGAGTGGAGTTTCTCCCATCTTCTCCTGACTGAGGAGGGCGCCAAGTGAGGTGAAGTGGAGGTCAGGGTTTCAAGCAGCCTGGCAGGTTGCCCAGGCTCTGCCTTTACCCCTAGAAACAGCAGTGAGTGCTGCCCCCTGCAGGCGAGGCAAGGTCCTGCACCCTTATCCTTGCGGCTTACGAAGCCATCTAGACATTTCAGGAGTGTGTATGGGTAGACGCCTGGAAGGAAGGCCAAAGAGTGGGCATGGGCACTAGGAGCGATCCAAGGCCTCCACTAACCTAGAATTCCTAGACCGCTAGAATTGTCCACATCCTGGAAAAGCCCTGGTTGGTATACTGCCTTCCACTCACAGACATTCCCTGGTGTCCAGGCAAATTCATTTCTCTTTAAACAAGAAAAGCCATGTTGTTAGGTTCAAAAGGCTCACCTTTCCCCTGAGGCAGTTCAAAGCCTTCACTGTTTCAGTAGCTTCCCATGGAAGGTTTGTTGGTGTCTGCAAATTGCAGGCCACAGAGGTGTGATCGCTAATGGAATGTAGCCCTGGACTGGATGGGCCATTGCAGACCCTGCACTGGCCTCTCCATCCGGGTGCTGTGACTCCGCTAGTAAATGTTGATGGGTCAAGGAGGCCGTGGGTGTTTTCCAGCCACCATTCTGAGAAGCAAACCTGAGGGAAGCAGCCACTGGTGAAGATCTTGGTCTTATTCTGTCTCTGTGGCACATTCTCTCCCTAAAACTAAGCAGGAAGTTCTCTTCTGCCTCTTCCCCTGCTCTTCTCTCAACAGAGGAGATTCTGTCCCAGCCATGGTTCTTTGAGAATGCTGTGGGGTGGAGTCTCAAAATCCCCCAGGGGTGTGCTGCCTGCCAACTGCCCAGGGCCACCCAGTGGGCCCGGATCTGGGGTTTTCAAGGCAGGTTCCTTGAGGCAGGTGCTTCTTTCCCAGCCGATGCTGACCCAGGCCATTCCTCACCACTATGCCCAGGCTGACTCAGGGAAAAACAGGCAGAAACCCGCCCTCATTCCAGATCACTCAAAGCCCCAGCAGTGAGAGCCCACAGGGGCACAGAGGTGATGGAGACAGCGCCTCTGTTGAATGAGCAGGGGGTGGGGTGGGGGGATGTTTCCGCTGGATGGTGGGTAAGCAACCGATGGGGACCAGGCTTTAAGGAAGAAGAGACCCTGGTGCCTGTTTCTGGTTGAAAGGGCTACTTCTTTATTTATAAAAAAATAAAATGCATATTTATTTATGCATACAAGAGCTGGGGTACAGGCCAGAGGTGCAAGAAGTGAGAGGATGTAGGGAGACAGAGTAGGGAGCAGAAATACACTGCTGAGGGGAGCAGTGGGTGAGACAGGACAGGTCTGCTGCGCCATGTGGATCAGCTCCCTGGCCGGGGATTGAACTCAGGCTGCAGTGGCTGGCAATAGTTTGAGAGTGCTGACTTTAACCCTGCGCCACCAGGGAGGCCTATAAGGGCAACTTCTGAGTCCCAGAATCTCCTCTTCTAAGGAAGAGGCTGAGGTCACTCAGGTGACAAGTACCATCTTTAGAGCCCTCTAGAAGCAGGGCGAGGCCTCCATGCGCATGCGACTCTTCACTTTCACAGGGAGAAGAGTTGTCTCTCCCATTGGCCTTTCCAGGTAAAAACAGCTACCCAGGCAAGTGGGCAGATGTAAAGTGTACACGTTGGATTTTTTACCCTTTGTCTACACTTTGGTCATCACAGAATAGTGCATTCTTCAAAGAGCACAGAAGGCCGGGAATGGCCCACCACTCTTCAGCTTTGAATGGGCTGTGAAGAACAAGCTCCTGGGGTGTGGTTCACTCTCACTGGCCACAGCAATCAGTCACCAAGTGTCTGTGGAGTACCTGAAACATTCTGGAAACTTCCCGGTATAAAACAGCAGTAGCCCTCCACATAACTCAAGTGTGACTGGCTTGTGTTTTTAGGAGTGGAGCTGAAATAATAGATTTGGTGTCATCAGTTGCTGACCTGAACCTCGTTGACTACAGTCATCGGTTTGGGACATTTTACTTGGGAGTCTCCCCCCTCTCTGTTTGTCTTCCTTAATATTGCATCTTCATTTTGAGCTCCCGCCCCAACATAACTTTATGTTGCAGCTAACAATGGCGACGTCTGGAGAAGGCAGTAACCCAGCTGGCAGAGCCACACCGCGGCCCCTGGCGCAGCCGCAGGAGCTCGAGCCCCGGGTGGCGCGCAGACGCCTGTCCCAGGCGCGCCACCGGGCCACCCTGGCCGGGCTCTTCTCCAGCCTCAGGGAGACGGTCTACTCCCAGTCTGAACTCGTAGCCTCAAAGGTAGGGGGGCCCGGGTGTGGGGGCTGGAGTCCCGTGGGGACAGGCTTGGTGTGGTGTCCTCCACCCACCCCACCCCAAAGGCTGCGGCCTAGGTGGGGTCAGCCCTCCACGGTGGGTGTTTCATGATGCTTTCTGTGGCTGCTCGTGGGTGGAGACTGAGAGCCGGGCCTGACCCACTTGCTGCCTGGTCAGAAGGGAAACCGCAGGCCTGAAAGACCCAGTTAACCAGTGCTGTTGTGCCTCACCTATGGTGGGCCTAGGTGAGCTTCCAGCTGCTCCCAGACCTTGCACCCCTCAAACTCCCCCCCCCACCACCACTATATACACACCCACACACACCACCAGGCCAATGTATTCTGCCTTGGGGACCAGCCAGGCACAAGCTCAGCAAGTGGGCTTATCTTTCCCTGCTCTTAATGTCACCTCTTTTCTCTCCAAGGCTTCCTTTGTTGCTGACCAGTGCCTCTGGCATTGCCTCAGGAAAGGCTTGAAGGTGGAAAAGGGAGGGAGGAAGGTTGCAGGAGGTAGCTGAAGAGTGGTTCCTGACAGCTGGAGTCCCCAGCTGTTTTACAGGGTGGGGACACTGGAGTTGAGTTGCTGGCGAGACCTGCATTGGGGAGGCCCCAGCTACTCTGTCTTCCCATCATCCTCTCTACACTGAAGGTTTCCACTCGCACTAGGCCCTTCCTGCTTGGGGCCCTTTACTGTTTACAAGGATGATGTGCTTCCTGCTTCTAGGCTGGTGCAGGATCCTGGTTGAGGTGGGGGTAGGTGGGGAGGGGAAAAGAGCTCCACAGTAGGTCAGGGTCTTCATGGCCCTTAGAGAAAGGCACCCCCTGAACACGCACATTGAGTTTAACTCCTGTTCTTGAAAGACTCCTGTTCTTGCAGGAGAGTGAAAAGTGTGGAGGTTTGGGGGTGTAGTGGAGGGATGTGCTGTTCTTCCTTTCTCTGCTGAGCCAGCCCCCGGGGCTCAGGACTGAGGGTTCGGGTCTGTGGAGTGGGGGGTCATCCTACATCTTGACCCCACAGCGAAGAGCCTGGACATAGCTCTGCGCCATGTCCTCTGGAGGAGGCAAATGTCTCCTGTGACTCTGATGAGACCCCAGAGGCCTTGTCGGTGGCCTTAGAAGTGTACCCAGCAGCAAGGCCACCGAAGCAACAGGCATTCAGGGCTGCCAGTGGGAAGTGGAGTAAATGGAGAGGAAAATCATTTGCACCCCCTAAAATTTGTACCTCCTAAGGTCATGGTGGAGAGCCCGACTGTTATCCGGCCATGGTTCCTGTGAGGCCATTTAGCAGCTAAGCTTCAGTTAACACACTAGTCCCCAAGGACAGATGGGTCCTCAGAGGCATGGGGGGTGGGGATGGGGGGAGGGGGGAACGGCGGTTAATATAATAACTGCACGAGAAGCTATAGCTTTATCATAAATGGCTCAAATGTTAGTGTCACTTCCCAAGGTGTGATCTCATTTGTTTCACATAAATCTATTCATGACATCCACATTTTACTGGTGAGGAAAACTGAGGCTGCAGAAAGTTACTTTGCCTGAATGGACAGCCAGGAAACAGTCTAGAAAGCAGGTCCCCTCTCCTGCCTGACTGCCAACCCCAAATTCTGCATCTGTAGCACCGGCCAGGAAAGGACCTTTCTCCTCAGAGACCTGGTGTAGCAAGGTTGCATTGGTTTCTGAGGACTGAACGCCAGGCCTGGTGACTTCAAACAACAGAAATGTACCGTCTTGCAGTTCTGGAGGCTGGAAGTCCCACATCCGGGTGTCCTCAGGGCCGTGATTCTTATTTCCCTTTAAGCTTTTAGCACTTTCCCCGCAGAGCTTGGCTCCATGACTGACAGGTGCTGCTCTTCCTGCCACATCTTGGACCTGCATCCAAATGTCTCCTGTTGACAAGGACATTGTCACACTGCGTTAGGGCCCTGCTGGCCTCACTTCAATTTGCGCACCTCTCAGAAGTCCTGATTCACAATTAGTCTCCATTCACGGCTCTGGAATGAGGACTTCCATAGGCCTATTTGAGGGAACATGATTCTACTCAGAACAGAGGTGCTAAGAAAGTCAGCCTGTCAAAAACATTCTAGAAACAGAGTTTAAAGGAATGCCCCTGGTTTCCTGGCCTTGCCTGTTAGACTGAGTGTAGGGTGGGCCGGCTGAGCCAGCACAGGTGAGCAGCCCCTGACCACACCCTGAGCAGGAACAAGTGGCCGTGGCATCAGTGGAGGCAGGGAGTCCTTGCTGGCCCAGCAGAGTGACCACGAGCCCCAAGACGGGGGGCAGCAGAGTGCATGGGATGTCAGGTGGAGCAGATGAGGAGTCTGCAATCACCCATATTCTAGTCGCTGTCTTTTGGGTCAGGAGAGTGCCTGCTTCTAGCGCCCTTCAAACCTCCATTTTGTTTACCAGGCAGAACCCGTGGGATCTGGAAGGATGACCCCTAGCCACCTGCAGCTTCAGCTCCCCCACCCCCTGCCCACCCTGTGTGCCCAGTCTCTGCCTTTGCTCCTGCAACTTGAGAGCACACAGATTCTCTTATTCTCTGAGTTGCCCCATTGTAGTGTCTTCTCCATCCCTCCATGTGGAATCATTTCCGCGGCCCTTTGCAGGCTTACTTGATCAAGCTTCCATGTTGTCGCCCTGCTAGAAGGGCATGTACTGACCCATGAGCCTGGGGTTTAGCGGCAGGCCTGATGCGTGGCTGGCACTCCTAACGGGACCGGTGGGTAGCACAGAAACAATACTTAGCGCTTCTCATCTTTGAATAATCGTGCAGTTACCATTTTGACTTTGGGATTATTTTATATAGGAAAGAAGGTGGAAGACGGGAGGTAGAGAGGGCAGGTCACGGAGGGAGAAGTGGGGAGGAGTGGGTGACAGGAAGACAATGGGGGAAAGGAAGGACATAGGAGGTAACCTGTGATCCCAGTCTTGCAGGACAGGATACTGGAGTTCCAACTAACAGAGCCAAGCTAAGATTTTAGATCTCCTGGTATGTGCACTTAGCAAAGAAAAAGGTACTGTTAGAATAGCACATTTACTAGAGGGATGGGCTCGAGCTAATATTCATTCCCAGAGTCTCTCAGTCACTATTAATCCGGTGGTGTAAAGAGTTATTTGCCTTCTTGCAGCTTAACTGTTTCCCAAAGCTTTAGGATTTGGGTAAGAACAATTTCCAGTATTCAGAGGAAAATGTCTTGTTTTCTGGGCATCAGAACGAGCTTCTTGTTCAAGGACTTGCCTTGTGCAGGGAGAGTCCTCTGGTGTCCACAAACGAGCCCTTGCAGGGGAAGGCCAGCTTGTCAGCATTGTCTGTCTCCATCCTCAGTGGCAGGTTCTAAATAAGGCAAAGACTCATATTCAGGACCTGGAACAAACCTTGGACAATCTGCTGAAGCTGAAAGGTAAGACGTCCCTGCCGGCCACCAGGGGGCGCAGTCTGGCTTTGCTATTGAAAACAGATTGGAGTCAACAGAGCGAGGTGGTGTGTATTGAGTGCCTACTGGGTGCCAGGTTGCTGTGCTTGGTCTGGGGTTGTGATGAGACTCACACTCCCCGGGCCTGGGAGAATGGGCAGTCATTTGTCTGTTGAGGTGTTGGGGTGCTGGAGAAGGTTCCTGATCTCATCTTGAGAGCCAGAGAAGAGTCACACTGGTGCCAGTGAGACAGCAAAGGGGGGCACCTGGCTCCCCTCCTTGGCACTCAGCGAGATGCCAGAATGGTACTTGGGTTTAAAACGTGATCCTCCTGCTGTCTTGATGGAGAAGAGCCAGCTCAGGAAGCCCCTCTCTCTGGCCTAGTGTTCTCTCCTGACATCTAGGAGAGGGGGAAGTTGGACTCTCAATCCCCTAACTCTGAACGTGGGCAGGCTGGGGACCACCAGACCACGCTTCTGCCCCTTTGTGATCCTGACTTTCCACTTCCTGTAGGGTCCTACCACCTGGAGGATGGGAATGCAAACAGCCTAGAAGAGGCCAAGGAAGAATTTGCCAGAATGTACTGCCAAGATCACAGGTAAGGCCGCGAGCACCGGGAGAGTCAGCTGCCTGCTGTTCTTTTCCTCCTCGGCTACATCACAGTCTCTCAACTTCTCCCTCCAGGGTTTGGAGCAGAGTGAGGGGGTGCTGCTAAGTTATCTAGAACAGTGTCTCACTGGGGAGACTCCTTTGCTATTTTATGACAGCCACCTGCATTGGATCTTTTTCTGATAATAAAAAGCATCCACTCTTACCAAAGAAAATATTATCAATAAAAATACGGGTCATCTTACTTCTCAAGAAAACTGGTTAATTTTGTAGAATATCCTTTCAGTTTTTTAAATCTTACAAGTTTTTTAACTCTTGGTGTCTTGGGGTTAGACACCAAGACACACAAGACCATGGTGTTCATAGTGTATTGATAGCTTTACAAAAACTCAACCAATGGCTTTAATGATGGAGACACATGACAATAAAGAAGCCCAACTGTCAGCCTATTTTCCAAGTTTTAGAAGAATCTAGAAAGCCAAAAGAAAGAGAGGAAAAGCAATGACTATAGCCAAGTGTCAGAAATGCTGAAAGGGAACCCGGCTTATCACATCCCACCTGAATTTGGAAGCAGACGTTGGTGGGGGCAGGGTCTTCCTCAAGCCTATGATCTCACTTTCTGTATTTAGTTCTGTGACATGCTTTGGGTCAATGAACTCTGCGCTGTGCTCTGAAAAGCTAACACAGCTTCTTCCCCCAGTTCCCATCCTGCCAAACTGCTTCCCAAGGGACTTTTGGGGGTGTGGCTTTGTCCTTCTTATCTAGTGACCTCAAGGCTTGTCCAGAAGTCTATCCAGTTTGGCCTCTGGTCAGACACAGGCATAGCAACAAATTCACTTGCTCTGTAAATGGGAGGGAGTGATAAATTATTCATGTTAGAACAACAATTCACTTCCCTTGCTGGTTAAAATATAAAGGTTATCACCTACAAAGTCTTATTCACGTTTGTGTCACCGGCCCATGTGAGGATGGCCACATTTCTTTAAAAACATAACAATCATGCCTCCATGGTGGTGCAAGGGGTTAAAGCACAGCACTGTGAAGCTATCACAGCCACTGAAGCACAAGTTCGATCCCCCGGCAGGGAGCTGACCCACATGACGCAGCAGACCTCTCCTGTCTCACCTGCTGCTCCCCTCAGCAGTGTATTTCAGTACATCTGCCTGTTCTGCTCCCCACTCTGTCTCTAGTGAATCCTCTCACACACATCCCCCCTGCACCTCTGGCCTACACCTCAGTTCTTGTGCATAAATAAATAAACCTTTTTTAAAAAAGGTATAATAATCCCAGAAACTTTTCAGTAGAATATCACCAACCTGCACTAATCAAAAACTGTTTATAGGCACAGGAATAGACTATATCTTCTAATTATTCTATGTTAATGCATTATGTTAGGAATGAGCTTAAGCATCTTTGTTCAAGACCCTGGCAATTTTGTGCACCTCTGCTTTGCCCATTTTCCTGTTGGATTGGGGGTCTTTTCCTTATTTAGTGGTAGATTTCTTAGCATGTCCTGAGAAACTTGCTCTTTGTAGTATAAGGCTTGCAAATAATGTCCCTTTGTTGTTGTTTGGTTTTGGGGTTTTTTTTGCTTTTGATATTTTGGGCAGAAAGTCTAGGCTTCCCATCTACTTTGACACCTGAGTTGAGTTTGGTGGAATTCTTAGGAATGTTTCCTCTGTTCTGAATTTTTTTTTTTTTAAAGATTTATTTATTTATTTGTACAGAACTGGGGTGCAGGCCAGAGATGTGGAAGGTGAGAGAATTCACCAGAGACAGAGCGGGGAGCAGAACAGGCAGACTGACGAAGTACACTGCTGAGGGGAGCAGCGGGCGGGTCAGGAGAGGTCTGCCACGCCATGTGGTCGCCTCCAGGGCAGGCGGGAATCGAACTCATGAGGAAGTGGCTTTAGCTTCTCAGTGCTGTGCTTTAACCCACTGCGCCACCAGGGAGGGCCACTCTGAATTTTTTTTAAAGATTATTTATTCATTCACGCAGAACTGCAGTACAGATGAAAGGTGGAGGGGTGGTGAGAGGACTCACCAGAGACAGAGTGGGGAGAAGAACAGGCTGATCAACATAGTAGCCTGCTGAGGGGCGTAGCAGGCAGGTCAGGAGAGGTCTGCGCGCCGTGTGGGTCAGCTCCCTGGCTGGGGATTGAACTCATGCTGCAGTGGCTTCTGAAACTTCATCATGTGGAGCTTTAACCTGTAATGTCACCAGGCAGAGCCCGGATGCTAAATTTTGCTGAGAACTTTTGTGCATCTACTGAGGTCATTTGGTTTTTCTTCTTTAGCCTGTTGATATGGTGACTGCAGCAACAGCCATCCCGCACTTCAAGGATAAACCCCACCGGGTCAGGACCTAAGAGCATATATGTTTATGTGAATGAATGTGTATGTAAATAGAAATTATTTATGCACATGTCTGTTTCAGTGTTGAAGCCCATGAGCGACATCAGTCTAGAGTTACCCAATTTCTGTTTTCTCCCCCAGCCTGTTTGCTCCCCCAGTTCATCAGAAAGACTCTGCCACCTGGTACCCTTTTGAGATAGTCGGGAAGGAAGAGGAGGAGGAAGTGGAGGAAGACCAAGAAGAGGAAGAAGAGGAGGTGGAAGAAGAGGAAGAGATGGAAGAGGAAGACAAAAAAGTGGAACCATTTCAGTTCCCCATCACCTTGACCCCAGACCTCTTGGAATTTGAACGGTGTGAACAGCTGGGAAGGGTGTGGCTTCGCCGCCCTGGGGCAGGAGCCCCAGGGGAAGGGGCTCCCTCCAGGGCAGGGGTGGGGACTCCTGCGCACTGACACAAGGCCCTGAATCCTGGAACCCGTTTCCACATAGGAGAAGCTGAGGGAGGGGTAGGCAAAGGGGCAGAGAAATGGCCTGGAGGCTGCATTTGCCCACCACATACATGGAGTTTTCTAAGACTGGGCGCTGGGCACATTCTCCAGCTATCCTTGAGGGGGTGGTGGATGGGATGAAGAGGACTGAGCTCCCCCACAAGTCTGCTTTTGACTGCATTGTGGGCCTTAGAGTGATAAAGATGGGGGGTGGCTGGCTTGGACTCCGCGGCTACTCACTTCGCCTCCACAGACTGCAGACCCTCAGCAGCCATGTTGACTTCCGGAATCAGTGACTCGCTGGAAGGAGGCTCACTCCACCGCCGAGCCTCACTTTCAGGCCTCAGATTAAAGCAGCATTTCATGGGTGCACACTCATGAGCAGGAATCTTAAGGGGGTCCCGTGGACTGAGAGCTGAGTCAGACATGTGGCCTGTCTGTCAAGCAGCGCATTCCTGGGGCAGGGGAGTGTACCGGGAGGACTTGGGAGGGAATCTCAAAGCATAAATCTGTGTCATCCACGCCCCCGCCCCCCCGAACATGGTTTGTGACCTGCAGAGACCAAGGGCTCGCAGAGACTAGTGAGACCGAGCCCCAGGTAGAGCTGTGGCGAGGCCTCCAGACTGTGTTGCTGGAGAACAGCACTTGGGCCTTCAGCTGCGGCTTCAGGTCTGGGAGATGCTGTCCTTGCTGTTGCAGGTATCTCAACTTCTACAAGCAGACGATGGATCTTCTGACCGGGAGCGGGATCGTCCCCTTGGGGGAGGTGACACTCCCCATCGTCTCTGCGGCCATCTCCCACCTGTGGCAGAATCTCTCTGAGGAGAGGAAGGCCAGTCTCCTGCAGGCCTGGCTGCAGAAGCACAGCAACCTCCGGGGCCCCACAGCGGCCGGCCAGGAACCCGTGGGGACCCAGGGCAGCTTGAGGGACAGCGGAGTGGACAGCCAAGGGGCCAGCTGCTCACTCGTCTCCACCCCGGAGGAGGTAGACAGACCTTGGGTAGCATGGAGGGGTGCACAGGAGTCCTGCCACCACAGACCCAGAGACACCGGGGGGGGGGATCTGCTTGGGGTCAAATTTGAGGCCCTGTCTCGTCAGGCTCACACTAGGCTTCTGGTTTTCCTGACATAATTTCCTGTTATTTTCCTGGCCTTCCCATGGGGATTCTAGAAAAGCGCTGAGAAGGCTGTCTGCAGGTGACCCCCTCATTAAACCATGAGGAAATGTGCTTCTCACGCAGGAGGCCCCGAGGCAGGGCAGGCTTCTGGCCAGTCTCTGGCCTGTCATCACAGATACCCGGCCTTCTCTTCTCTGTAAGCTGTGTCATCTTGAGGCTGGTTTCTCGCCTTCCTTCCTCTCCTAGCGCTCCCACCTCCTGGGCCGTGGAATGGCAGCTAGTAGCAGTAGCATCCCCTTTGGGGGTGAAAGGCAGAGAGAAAGCCTTCGTCTCTCCACAGCAGCCGAGAGCAGGATCCAGCAGTAGCGATTCTTGACTCTCAGTCCGTGCTTTCTTTAGATCCTTTTTGAAGATGCCTTTGATGTGGCAAGCTTCCTGGACAAAAATGAGGCTCCAAGTACTTCTAGCTCCAGGTGAGGAAGGGGTGAAGGACCTGTGCGCGCGTATCAGCGCGTAGGACTGGGTCTTAGTGTATGAGTGTATACAAGGGTGTGTGCAAAAGTGATCGTGCACATGTCTGGGCATGCACACGTGTGTGTGTGTTTGTGTGTCAGAGTATGGGAGTGCGTAAGTGCATATGAGTGTGTGTTACCCCTGCTGGGATGTTTAGGGGCCTCTCCCCTGCAGCTCCCCCCAGCAGGATGCTTAAGTTCCTAGAAATCCATTTTTTTCTGTGATACTAAACGGGCAGGTCCCGGGTTGTGCCGCTGCCAGAGGGGACCTTGTCAGGGGCGTCCAGAGTGGAAAGTTCTGGGCTGCTCCAGGGCTGAGGCAGAACAGGTTATCAGCTCCAGATGGCACTGGCTTCCAGGGTGAGGTGCTGTGGTCGGTGAGAGCAGTTTGTGTGGGGTGGGGAGGGGCTTTGGGGCACAGAGAGATGCCCTGAGCTTACCAGGTAGGGGACCCTTTGAACTGTTCTTGGGGAGCCGGTCTTCAGGATGTTGGTGGGAGTGAGTGAGGGGAGAGGGGTGCAGGGGAGGGTTGGTCCCGCCAAGTGAGAAGACACTGAATAGGATCTGGGGAGAGTCTAGAGCCAGAAGCAGCTTGATGAAATCTGGACCGAGGGGTGTGTTCTCAGCGGGAGCTGCTTTGGGGGCCGGGTGCTCCTTGGTTTGAAAAGCTATGGCCTTCTGGCTTGAGGACACAGGCCCTTCAGATACCACTACTGTGTGGTGAATACAAAGGACCTAAACATCTTTATTCTGCCCTGGGAGTCAGGGAGATGTTCACATCTTCTTCCCAACGAAGACCTCCATCTCCTGGTCCCCAAGTGGGCTGTGCAAGGTTCTGTCCCAGAGCTCCGGCCTCCTGCAGGCCCCTCAGATGCCAGCATTCGCCCTCCTCCCCACCAGCTCCTCTAGGCCTGCCCAGAGGGGGAGACTCAGGGCTTCCGGGGAGGGTCTGGCCCTCTCCAGGGTGGTTTTATGCAGGCCTGCTCTTCTCAGCTTTACGGGGTCTTCCGTTTTGAAGAAATAGCTGGAAGCAGACACTCCTCCTCCAGAGCCCGGCTCAGGCTGTGAGGACGTGCGCTTCCCAGCAAGACTTGGAACCCTGCTTCTGGGCCACAAAAATAACCTATTAAGAAAACTGTTTTCTACTTGCCCCAGAAAAGGAAGGGGCTAAGCTGACTAAGCTGCCTTCCAAGAGGACCTGCAGTCTCAGGCCTCGTCCTGTCCCAAACTCAACTCCTTGGCCCTCAGGCCGCACTTCTGGGACTTCTGCCCTGGCCCAGGGAGCCAGTCTGCACACAGTCCTCCTTCAAGGCTTTGGTCTTTGCTGGGCCTACCGGGTGGCAGCATCTCACTGGACGGCTGGAAAATGGGACAGTGCTTGCTGAGCAGCTCTGGAGCCCTGAGGGCAGACCTGGGATTGCTGCAGAGGCCGGCTCCTATCTTCCGAGGCCACAGCTCAGACAGAATTAGGGCCCAGGAGCCCACCCCCTAACGGCTTGATTTCCCAGCGGTGCCAGACAGGACACAGGAAGCCACACAGACCTGCCAGGAAGTGTACTGGACTGCTGTGTGCTTCAAAGTGTGTGGGCCACACTGCAATCCCAGTATTTTCGGAGGTACAGCTGAGGTCAAAGATTTGGATGCTAAACATCTGTTGCTTCTTCTTCCTTTCTGTTGTTAGTTCTCTGCTTGCTAGCAGCAACCCAGAAAACCCAGAGAACAAGTTTCAGCTCTATATGCAGATCATTGAATTTTTTAAGGGCCTCTGCTCCATTAACATGACCATCAAGGAGGTACGTATGGCAAGGCAGGGGGTGAGGAGATCCTAGCCTCTCCCTGAGGAGAGGTGACTAGAAGGGCATCCTAGGTGGACCTCACTCAGGTCAACCCCAGGGACCACTGGCAGGGGACTTCATGTTCTCTGGCCTGCTCCAGCGACAGGGAATTGTAGGTTGTCCAGGGAAATTGAGGGTTGCAACAGAGGGAATGGTCTCCACAGAACAACCCCAGACTGGGGGTCCCTTGGAGTAGCTCTTCACAGACATTCCTCCATGTGGTGTGACACCTTGACACCCTCCCAAGAGGCCACACTCCATCTGAGACCCTGGGGTCTCAGCCACTAGCCACTAGCCTCCGGAGCATATTAATTTCTACTTCCAAAAACAGTGAGACATATGGTGACCGAAGGGGTGATACAACCGTACCACTGAAGATATGTGAGACAGAGATGGAAGGAAAGGAGCACCCCTGAACGGAGGGGCCTTCTCACCTGCTTGGGGCCTGGCCTCCTTAAATAAAAACGTAATCCTCTTCCACCCCATGTTTTACAGGAACCAGACCTTCCTGTTGATGATGAGATGATCATGTTGAGATGCTTGGAGACCTTTGATGATGACGATTTGTGATACAGAAGGCTGAGAAGGGAAGGGAATGAATGAGGGTGGGCAGTTTTCAAGTTTGACTGCAAGTTGCCAAGTTTCAGTTTGTCTTAGTTTCTGGGAAATTCCGGAGTGGGCTGTCCCAGAGATCTTGTGATAGTTTTCGTTTCTGACTATTATAAAGTATTTTAAGATGACTGTGTCAGTCTTTCTTGGTTGTTTGGTGGAAGGGATGACCTACTGCAAGGCATGCACACCCCTTTACATTGGAGCCCCGGTCACCAGCCTTTAAAGAAGAAGATAAGCAGGATCTGTCCCTGGAAATGCCACTCCACTAGATACTTTCAGTACATTCTAGATTTCAGGCATTGTTCTGGTGGTTTCTCGCGAGTTCTGGCCCTCTCACTCATTCCTCATGACGAGGGAGTCCAAGAATAGTGCTGACATCAACCCTGTCTTCCAGGACATCAGGGTAGAACCAGCTAGACCTGGTAATAAAGGCTCCTGCATGGAATTAAAGTCAGACCCCACGGTGTTCTGAGTGCTTTCTGGTGAGGCTCCGAGGCAGGATAATAAGGTCCGGTCCCTAGGGTACACATCAGGTGTGGAGGTTAACTTAATGTGTGAACAAGGCTAGGCCACAGTGCCCATGTATTTGATCTTGGTTAATATATAAATCCTAGTAAATATTAGTATTTGAGTAAAGCAGATTGCCCTCCATAATATGAGTGGGCCTCATCCAATCAGTTGAAGGAGTAAAAAGACTAAAAAACTGACCTCCCCCAGGAAGAGGCAAATCCTTCTGATTTCAACTCTAACTCTTTCTTCCCAGCCTGCCAGTCTACTCTTCAGATCTGGCCGTGCCAGCCTTCACAATCATATGAGCCCATTCCTTAACATAAATCTTGACAGATGTATGTATGTGTGTGTGTGTATACATATATATGTATATATGCGTATATGTATATATGTATATATATTTATATATGGATATACCTATGGATATGTCTATTTATGGATGGATAGATAGATGGTGGATAAGCAAACAGAAATACAGATACCCGAGTGTACTGTACATACGTGTGTGTTCATGTTTGCAGAGGGAATGGGTTCACCTGGCTCCTTACAGTTGACAAGTTCGAACAACAGTGACAACCATCCACCAAAGCCCTCCTAGCACACTGACTGCTTCATGCACCTGACACACAAGTCAAGTCTGAGGAGCCAAACCCTCAGTCCCTCAGATCCAAATCTTGCGTGAGTTCACAGCCCCAGCTTTTACCATGAAGGGCCAAGGACTCCTGCAGGAGGTATGCAGATTCAACGATGCTTGCCAGTTTACAAATGATCAAACTGAGGGGTAGGTGAGGGTTTGCCAGGCAGGGCCTTTATGCTAAACTTATGGCCTGAACTTGTGCTGGAAGAAAGGACAGTCTCATGACCACAGGACTCAGCTAGTCATCCTAGAGACCCAGCAAGCCAGGAACAAGCCAGCGTGTGGGAGAGAAACCAGTCTTTACAGAGTGCCAATCCACAGTAGGCCCTTAAGGAATGTGTGCAGTTCTAGCCAGCCCCTCTGCAGGGTAGACCAGCAGGTTGGGAAAAGTTAGAGTTTAAATCAGAAGGATTTCTCTCTCCCTGGGGGAGGTCAGTCTTTTAGTCATTTTACTCCTTCAACTGATTGGATGAGGCCCACCCATATTATGGAGGGCAATCTGCTTTCCTCAAATGCTTATTGCACCAGCCCTTCCCTAAAGCCATTTAGTCCAAGTCTGTGATTCCATTTCTGGAACAGTGTGTGCCATGGAGCCTGTGGTCAGAGTGGACCTCAGAGGAATTGTGTGCTTTCTCCCCACAGTCAGGGGCCCAACATCATCCCCACCTCCACTCCCTGGCCCCAACACCCCTCAGCGCCCCCATGCACTGGGGCCACTTACCAGTTCCATTCTGCTCTTTGTGGGGCTTCCAGGGCTCCCTTGCCCATCCAGGCCCGCAATATAGCTACCACTATGTTTTTCTTTCGGGAATTCTGGCCTGTTCTGCTGTAATCTAGATGGGAATATATGGAGGAGTTGAGCTCAGTGTCCAATCACGACCTCGCTGCTCTCCAGGATGAAGCTGTTGATAGAGACACATATTCAGGTGAGAACCTGAATATTTTCTCTTACCAGTGGTTCCCAGTGTCTATTAAAAAAAAAATGCTTCTGATGTGGAGCTGACACTATGTGAAGCTGCAGGTAAACCTGAGGTCCCCAGGGAAATGATGGAAGTTTCTAGAGAAGCTCAGGTGGCAGACTTGAGCTCCCCTGCATCTACTCTGTCCCACTCTGTCACCAGTCTGGGGTCTCAGCATAGGCCGCTGTCCCTTGCTGCTCCCCGTGGACTCATCTCCTTGGTGTGGACGCTTATCCAGGAATTAGCTCACAGCCTGCATAGCCTGTTATAGGCATCACCAGGTTTTACGAACAGAAAGAAACTTTATTGCAAATTGATTGGCATGGAGGCAGAAGAGAAACTCAAGTTGATGTCCCCTGTATGAAAGTGAATGGGGTTATAGAGGTGTGCAGGGCTGGGGCTGAGAACAAAGTTACATTTTACAAGCTCGAAAATGGGGGAGTGCAAAGGAATGTGTTTTCGCTGGCTGGCATTGGCCGATTACAGGGCAGTCCTTACACAGAGGCGCCGAAGCAGAGGCGCCCAAGCCCACGAGGAGGCTTTGTTCCGAGAACTGGAGGTCTGAGTTTCTCTGGCGGGGTTCCTCGCCTTTGAGAGTCGAGTCCCCTTCTCTACTTCTGAGGCTCCTGCCCTGCCGGCCTGGGGCTCAGCCGGAGTCAGGCACGTCTGTGAATACTCAAGTTGTGTTGTTTGCAGATGGGTCCACGGAGCAAGTTTCAGGGAAAACATTAACTGGTTCTGTGTAGCCTTGCTCAGGTGTTTATGCCGCTGGCCTCCGTGGCGTCACCTGCGGCCTCGAATGGGAGCATGGGGCACGCATGTCTGTGGTAGACACCTCGAGTGTGGTGTGGGTAGGCCTCAGTGGGTCCCTTGAGCCTGGAGGCCTGTGAGGCATCATCCCAGAGGATGGTGTGTGGGCGAGAACGAGTGACAGCTGCATGAGGAAGCCCAAAGAGCAAAGATTTGCCAGGGGCTGGCAGGCTGCCATTCTCCCAGCACCTCCCGGCCTCCCTGACTTGCCAGCCTGCGGGCTTGCCCCACTGTGACTGGTGTAGGAAGAGCATTAAAAGCTGGAAAACCCAGTGAGGGCCCCACGGTGCTCCTTTATCCATCTACCCGAATTGCTAGAGAAGCTGCCTGTGACTTGTTGACGCTGCACCTAGGAATCAGGGTCAGAGGGCTTCAGGAGTCCCTGTCCTCCCTGGAAGGAGTCCTGCCTGCCCTCAGCCCAGGGCTGTAGGTGGCCATGCGGGGTCTTCTCTCCTGGCGGTAGGCTGAAACAGAGTGAACATCAGGAAGAGACCTGTGGGCAGCAATATGTGATAGAACCTCATGGTGTCCAACCTGGTCTGCTCGGGAGAAAAGGCCAGGTCACAGCTCTCCTGAGCAGACGGAGGCGAGCACAGGAGCTCAGACATGGAGCAGGAGCTCGGGGGGTACACCCCACTCAGCCCCGAGGGGCAGGTGCATGGAGAAGTACAGGAAGGGCTTCCTGCCTCTCTGTGGACGAAGTCACTCCTTCCAGCTTCGGTAAACAGCCCACCTCTGACTCCTGCGCAGCCCAGGCCTCCAGGAGCCCAAAACCCTGCCCAAAGCAGGTGGGCCGGGAGGCAGCCACCAGGTGCAGGATGAGGGCAGGTCTTCGCTCCAGTGCCACAGGGAGGCAGGACTTCATTGTCTTCTCGAGCTCCTCTTGGGTTTGGTTCTGCGCCAGGAGGCCTCTCCCTTCCTCTCTTCCGAGAGAGGTCAGGTCACACCTGTCTGCACTGGATGGGAGGCGGGAGGGTCGCTGAGGGATGTGGCTTGCGGTCAGCGCAGTGACGAGGAGACTGGGTTGAGGCTCCATGTACGGCCTGTTCGTGGTGTGTGGGGGGTGCCCAGTGTACGTGGATGGGGAGATCAGCACATTGGGGGGTGGTCTGGGAGGGCGGTGGGGGGTGCCGAGCGAGACCCTCACATGCTGGTGTCTGTGGCACCCTTCTGGTGCTCTCCTGGGGATTCCGGGGAGCAGAGGGTCAGCTGGCTCACTCCCACCTCGTCGCTCTGACCCTTTTCCAGCTTGGGCCAGAAAGGGAGCCACCGGGTGCACGATGAGGTGCAGATCTTTGTGCCAATCCCCCAGGGGAGGCCGTAGACCTCCGAGGCCTTGGTTGTCTCCGCAGACTCTGGGATTTGATTCCATGTCAGGAGGCCTCTCTCCTCCCGGCTTCCTAAGAGGAGACAGTGAACAGTCAAGACTAGGCCCTGAGGAAGGGGCAAAAGTGGGCAGGAGGGGCCCTCCCTGGTGGCGCAGCGGGTTAAAGCACAGCACTAAGAAGCTTAAGCCACTTCCGCATGAGTTCGATCCCCGCCTGCCCTGGAGGTGACCACATGGCGCGGCAGACCTCTCCTGACCTGCCCGCTGCTCCCCTCAGCAGTGTACTTCATCAGTGGGCCTGTTCTGCTCCCCGCTCTGTCTCTGGCGAATCCTCTCACCGCCCCTGCACCTCTGGCCTGTACCCCAGTTTTGTATGCACTAATAAATAAATCTTTAAAAATAAAATAAAGTTTAGGTGTTTAGGCTGGCCCTCATCCAAGCTGACTGGTGCCTTTTTTTAAGGAGACCCCCCCCCCACCCCCCGGGCCCTCCACCCCCCAGGAGAGGAGAGACACAAAGGGCACACGAGGACACAGCTAGAAGGTCACCTCTGCAAGCCAAGGGGAGAAGTTCCAGAAGAAACCAACCTTACTGACACTTGACCTTTGACCTCTAGCCTCCAAATGCTAGAAAAATAGATTTCAGAAGTGTTAACCACTCTTTCTGGAGGCTTGTGATGGCAGCTCTAGCAGATGCATACAGGTCAGGACACCCCCAGACCCAGGGCCCCTCGTTGTACACTGTGCTCAACCTGCAGTGGCAGCTGGAGCCACAGAACCATCTGGGCAGCTCACGGCTGACCATCTCCCCAAACCAGCAGCCTGCAGAGTGAAAGTGGGTCCTACCCGGGATGGTATTGTCCAGCAGAAAGCCCAGAAATCCACCCACGAACATGCCAGTGGTCACCAGCACCTGGATGACCTGGTCCAGCTGGAGAATCCCTGGAGTGGAGACAAATGTGACAAGAAATCCCAGAAACCAAAGACCCCACTGGCCCCACCCTGGAGGGCTACAGTCTCTGTGTATCGTCACCTGTCTGGAGCTTCTCCGGGTTCTTGTTGACCCAGTTGGGGATGGCGAGCCCACAGTAGATGGAGAAACCAAACACAAAGATGTTCCTGGATGAGTTCATGTCCACGTACTGCAGGAGAGCGGCCCCGGGGGCACCGAGTCAGCACAGCATTTACGCGCATCAGACACGCACGCCCGCCCTGCACCCCGACCCCGCCCGCCGCCATAGGGGCGCGGGGCTCACCGCGCATGCTCTCATGGGCAAGCCCAACCCCAGGTCCCAGAGGCCTTGGAAATACAGCAGTTTGGACAATCTGGTTCAAACTGAGGCATTTTCTGTTTTTCACAGATTTGGAAACTTCTGGTTATTTCTTTCTTCCCTTTGGGGCCCAGTACGGTTTCTGGGGCTGAGGTCCTTCTCCTCCCCGGCCCTGGCCCTCTGTCACCCAACCCAAAGGCCTTGTGCTTGCGTCAGAAGATGCAGCGACACTGCTTTTCTAAGGGTGCCTCGTCTCACCTGCAGATTGGAGATCCCCACGGCGGTGATGACCCCAAACATGACCAGGAACATGCCTCCGACCACGGGGGTGGGGATGGTGGCAAACGCGGCCCCGATCTTCCCAAACATCCCCATCAGGAGCAGAACACAGCCGGCGGCCACAATCACCATCCGGCTCCCCACCTGCAGGACTCGGGGGGCGAGTGGGTGAGGGGCTCAACGCAGTCGTTTTATCAAAAGCGATTACTATGGGCTAGGTTTAGACTCTGGTTTGCTTTTCACCTATTCGCAGGTTTATTTAGAATCTACTGAACTGCGATGAAGCCTGTTTTATGGTCTTATACAGTATGAACCGGTGCTATCAAGAATCTGAAAGTGCGTTTTGCTCCAGTTCATGGCTATGGAGCATCGTTCTGCGCTAATGTCACTAATTCCCATGATCTATTTGCGTGGGTCTTTCTGAGTTGCTGAAGTATTTCAGAAGCCAACGGAAGTAGGTTTCACGCCCCTTAAGATGCTATTGGATCTTGATGTAAAATCAAGCTTCTAAAAAGATGAAAAGAAGACCACCAAACCACTGTGCTGTAAGGACCACAGATAACCCTTAGTTCATACCTGTCCCATCACAAGGCCAGTCCCACTCCCCTAGCTGGCACGCTGCCGGCCATTACCAGTGTTGCGAGAGACCAGGGCTACAGAGTTTGGGTGACAACCACCGTCAGGGACACAAACAAGCAGACCTTGAGGCCTTCGATATCATCCTCAAAAGTTAGGAGTGCTGGGCCTCCCTGGTGGAGCAAGGGTTAAAGGCTCAGCGGTATCAATCTATCCCCAGCCACTGCAGCACGAGTTCAATCCCCGGCCAGGGAGCTGACCCACATGGTGCAACAGACCGCTTCTGTCTTGTCCACTGTTCCCCTCTGCACTGTATTTCAGTAAATCCACCTGTTCTTCTCCCTACTCTATCTCTGGTGAATCCTCTCACCCCCTGTACTGCAGGCCTATACCCCAGCTCTTCTATGCATAAATAAATAAACCTTAAAAAAAAATAGGTCTGCACTGCGCATGCCCTGGTCTGGATATCCCCTTATGAGACTTGGCCGTGAACGCATTTCCATAGTTCTGGGCCCCGTTTCTCACCATCTGTGCCTGTCTTCCCCAGTCCTCACATGGAGGACTCTGATATCACCCTAGATGCCAAGCTGAACAGCTTTGAGGGGCTGCAAGCCCCAGGATCACACTCCCTGCTATATGGCTGTTCATTTTGCAGAGATTAAACTGAAATGTTTATGTCACGTGTCATTTACCACAATTAATAATATTTTAAAAAACTATTCCAATGTTTAAATTCCATTCATGCAGTGAGAAAGTAGCAGATTCCGCCTTTGCTTTTCTCTCTAATCTGCCTTATTTATTGAATAAATGACTTCATCTGAAGGCATGTGGTAAGCATTTACCGCCAAAGGAACATTTTGTTTTAGTTTGCAACCCAATCCATTAAGTGAGGACAAAAGCACATATCTAAGCACAATAGATCAATTTGTCAGCTTCCACCAACACCCACGGGAGACGCTGATATCTTGAGGTGTGGTTACCCCAGTTCCATGACCACAGCACTTAGCACACAACCTTGGACCTCTTCTGGCATCTGAGCTGGGGCCCTGGACCCTACACCAGTGACTACAGCTCTTGGCCTTTAGCCTGATTGCCCCCGGGTTGGAGAGACCCATGGGTGAGAGCTCCTCAGGGCAGCCATACCTCCAGGCAGCGTCTAGAAAGGCCATGTGGGGAAGGGACCCCAGACCAGCTTTCCCTGTGCCCACGGGATTTGCACACTGCTCTGTGACTGTCGCTCTTCCCTTCGCCTTTCAAGGGCCGGCATTTAGAACTGGAAGAAGCAAGGAAACGCTCGTTCTGTGTCTTGAATATGACCTTCTGTTCTGCATGAGGTTAAATTCCCTTTAGGGCCCTCCCTGGTGGCGCAGCGGGTTAAAGCGCAGCACTAAGAAGCTTAGGCCACTTCCGCATGAGTTCGATTCCCGCCTGCCCCGGAGGTGACCACATGGCGCGGCAGACCTCTCCTGACCCGCCCGCTGCTCCCCTCAGCAGTGTACTTCGTCCATCTGCCTGTTCTGTTCCCCACTCTGTCTCTGGTGAAGCCTCTCGCCGCCCCTGAGCCTCTGGCCTGTACCCCAGTTCTGTATGTACAAATAAATAAACCTTAAAAAAAAAATTCTCTTTAGCAGGAACATTTGCTGTTTCATCCTCTGTATGTTCTGTGGGGTCAATGGCTCTCCTTGGAAAAGCGTCCCCCGCTTGCCCCAAAGACTATGAAGCCCTGAGCAAGTATCAGAGTCCTTGGATCACAGCACAAAGAAATTGCTGTGGAGGCAGCTCTGGCTGGCTGTTTGCTCACAGAGCTTAGCGCCCACAGAGGGCCAGAGGCCATGCGGGGCCCCTCCTCGGTTACCCAGATGGGGCCAGTCAGGCTAGAGGTGGATGCCCTGAGGCCAGAAAGATAGGCAGCTCCCAGCAGCACAGCAGACACACTGAGGGGGCTACAGGAAAATTCGGGGTGGGGGTGGGAGTATTGGGGGGTGGGGGAGCAGGAGCAGACTTGTGCTGGAAAGCACTGCAAAGTGCACAGACACATGAAAAACAACAGCATGACAGTCTGAGGTGCCTTGAAAGCACCATCCTGCAGAACTGCTGACTTTATGGGGCTCAGCTATGGAACATGGGGAGCCATAACGAAACTCTAAGCAGGGACTAACCTAATCAGAATTGGGTTTTAGAAAGTGCCTTGGGCAGCTGCGTGGCAGTTGATTAGGAAGAGCCTGGGGAGAGAGACTGGGACTCTGGTGTCCAGACAAGCTCATAAAGTCGTGCCACTGGGGGTAGAGAGCAGGACAGGGAGATACGTTGAGAAAATCAAATCCACCACAGGGGTCCAGGACAGCAGGAAGTTAAGGGCAATTTGGGTGAACTCACTAAGGCAAGGATTGTAGGAAGAGAAGCGAGGATGGCGGCAGGCTGAGTCTGTAGCTTTGCCAGGCTGTGAGGTGCTCTGGGGACTAGTGGTGGCGGCTGACTGTCAGGTAGTGATGTTCCAAAGGGAAGGCATTTCGTCAGTGCTCACAAAGCCACTGACATCTGCCAGGGCCAGGGCCGAATTTCTCCCTCTGGAATAGCCTCAACCAAAGACGGTCCAGTAAGAGAAGCACAATAATAGCCGCTCAAACATGTCCACACCCAACCCTTCAACCTGTGGCTCTGTTACCTTACATGCACAATGGTGGTTGCAGGTGTAATTAAGGTAGAGATGCATTCTCTAGACGGGACCAGCCTAATCATGTGAGTGTATACAGCAGAACTCTTGCCCGGCTGTGGCCAGGAGACTTGGCTGTGGAAGAAACTCAGAGAGAAGCAGCATGGCTGCCTGAGAAGATGGACGACTGGCACTGTGGTGAAGGAACTTGGGCAGCCTCAGGAAGATGGCGAAAGCCAGGTCATGGCTTCTCCCTGGAGCCTCCAGGACAGATCGTACCCTGCCGATACCGCCCTTTTAGCCTGGGGAGGCTTCAGTCAAAATGGCTTCCAGATCAGGAAAATTACAAAAGGGGGTTGTGGGAAGTCATCTGTTCTAGTAGCATAGAAAGCAAACACAGGTCCTCCCTGGTGGCGTAATGGGTTAAAGCGCAGCACTGCAAGCCAGCCGCAGCCACTTCCCTGCAAGTTCGATCCCTGGCCCCGGAGGTGACCCACATGGCGCGGCAGACCTCTCCCCACTGTTCACCTCAGCAGTATACTTCATTCATCTGCCTGCTCTGCTTCCTGATCTGTCTCTGGTGAATCCTCTCTCATCCCCTGCACCTATCGCCTGTACCCCAGTTCTATCGCCTGTACCCCAGTTCTGTAAGTATAAATAAATAAATCTTCAAAAAGAAAGAAAGAAAGAAAGAAAGAAAGGGCAGGAGGTGACAGATTCAGGTGCCCCACGGGGGCCTTACCCTGGTGATGCCCAGCGCCCCGACGTTCTCGCTGTAGGATGTGGTGCCATTGCCGGTGCCCCAGGCCCCGGCCAGCAGGCAGCCCAAGCCCTCGATGCCAATGCCGCGGCTGACCGCTTGCTTTGGAGGGGGTGGGGCCCCCACCAGCCGGGCACAGGCATAATAATCGCCGACCGACTCCACCATGGAGGAAACCACCCCGGCGATGATCCCGAAGACCCCGGCCAGGCTGATGGTGGGGAGGCCCCACTGTCCTGCAAGTGCAGTGCAGAGAGGTCACAGGATGCTGGGGCTCACTTTCCCCACCAAGAGCATGCTCGGAAGGTTGTGGCCACCTGGCGGCCAGGTGCTGTGCCGCTCTGGTCTCCTGTGCCACTAAAATGTGGTCCTAGAGCATTGTTAGAAATGCAGTCGGCCCTCCCTGGTGGTGCAGCCGGTTAAAGCCCAGCACTGCAAGCTGGCCACAGCCGTGGCCAATGTGAGTTTGATCCCCGCCCGGAGGTGACCCACATGGCACAGCAGACCTCTCCTGTCTCCCCACTGCTCCCCTCAGCAGTATACTTCATCACTCTGTCTGTTCTGCTCCCCACTCTGTCTCTGGTGAGTCCTCTGACCACCTCTGCACCACCCTAATTCTATATACATGAACAAAGAAATCTTTAAAAGAAAGAAATGTAGAGTCTGTGGCCCAGACCTGCTGAGAGAGAACCCACTCACTGGACAGTGTCTGTGAGCCAACCTAAAGCTTTCAGCGTGTTTACAGTTATGTCACAAAACAAAGCAAAGCAAGGAAAGGAACTGTTCCTACGAAACAGTAATGTGTGGGTACCTACTGCTTCAGAAGGCAAATAATGCGCTAGGACTTGGGGAGACAGTCAGGGGTGACAGCTAGCGAGGATGGTGTGTCCCTTGCGGGGGGCATGAAAACATTCTGGCATTAGCTAATACTGCTGAACGGGCAACTTCGTGAATGTAATGAAGATCACTGGGCTGTACCACTTGAACGGTGACTGTTATGCTCTATGAATTCTGTGTACATCAATAAAGTTGCCAGAACACAAAAACACTGGGCAGTGTGTTCCCAGCTCAGAGCATCCTGGGCTGTACTGGGTCCCCACCTCCCCCCTCCTCCCCATCTTGGGGAGGGCCTGCCCTGGACCCGCTGAGCAGACAGCCAACAGCCAACCCTCTTCCTGGGGCGGGGGGTGGGGGTAGGGGGCTGCGGTTTTACACCGGGAGGTCCTGGCTCCACAAGACACTTCTCCCAGGAACCCGGTTATTCATGCCCCAGCCAAGAACAGCGGGGAAAGGAGACTGGAAGTGGCCTGAAGATGGCCTTGTCCTCTCTCCAGAAATGGTCTCAGGCCTCCTCGATGTAGCATCTACTGAATTGTCGACAGAGGACACCCAGGGTCTGAGTGTGAGGTGCAGTCCCCCCTGTTCTCTCCCCACTCCCGGGCTGTGGGTCCTGCGGGAGAAGGCAACAGGGAGGTGGGTGGGCTGGGAGGCGGCTCGAGCGCGGGATCCCTGTCCCGTGGCCGCCAAAGGATTCTTGGGACAACCCAAGGTCGCCCTCTAGGACCTGCTCCCTGCCCGCAACTCCCTGCCCAGGGCCTCGACATCCTGGCAAAGGTGCCCAGCAAGCAGGGACCCTGCTCTCCGTACCTGGGTAAGGGAAGCGGAACCAAGGGGCCCGGGTGAGGACATCGCCTTTGGCGTCGGTGCGAGCCAGGAACCCGTAGTCGGTGGGGGCCGAGGGCAGGGTGTCGGTGACGGTGAGCACGAAGCAGAGGAGCCAGGAGATGCAGAGCGCCAGCAGCACCTGCCAGAGGGAGCTGTCTTTGCCCGGGGCCTCGCCCCTTCAGGCTGCAGGGGGTGGGGCAGGGAGGGGGTTCAGGAGAGTTCTTGGAAGAGAGGGCTGGTAGACTCCCATCCTCCCCAGTGACAGCAGGAGCCAGCGTGTGAGCAGGGAACCAGCACATGTGAACTCTGGGGAGACCAGTGTCAAAGACAGGCAAAGACGTCTGGCTACTGGGTGCAGCCTGGGCCGGAAGCGTCACCATGGGCACCCTCCCACTGTTGGCGGGTCACGTGACCTGGCTTGAGCGTGGCCACCTGTCCCTTCATCTACAGAGACTGGAACCAGATTCCTTCCGGGGGGTCCTCAGTCATACCGATTTCTCTTTGCTGTTGGCGGGACCCCAGAAGTCAGCGTGTAGCAATGTCCCCACGCTGGATTTCACAACCCCTGGCCTATAGGTGCTGAAGAGTCAGTGCCATTGTTCTGTGGAAGCATCTTTTGAACGATGTGAAAGGCAGTTACAGTTAAGGATAGCCTGAGCCTGAAGACAGGGCTGTGTGGGTGAATGTCACACATGCTGGGCCCCTGGGGCAGCTCCAGCAGCAGGCTCTGAAAGGGGAACATGTTGCATGCTCACCGCCAGGGCCTTGGGTTACCCGGGAGCCACTCCAGAAAGGTGGAAGCAACCCCCTCTTGTTTACATAACTTGGGGTAAACCTGGCTTCTCCCCCAGTTCCTTACTAGGAGGTGCCCCTGGGGGCAGAAGGCTGTCCCTACCTTCTGCCCAGAGCTGTGACCCCAGAACCAGGCCTTGGTGCCCTGAAGAGAGCACCGAGGAGTGGGCTGGGATGGGGTAACACCCTGCCAACATTTGGGGAGCAGTCCCCAAACTTCTTGGTCTCCTCTGCTGAACTAAGGAAGGTCCAGGAGGAGACCTGGGGGGACATGTGATTTGAGGGCCCCCTGGGAGTGTGGGAAGCTGGCCCTCACTCTCCAGTGAGTCAGCTAAAGCTAAAAGTGGAGGTGGGTGGAGATGCTTCTTACAGGGAAAACCTGAAACAGGTAGAACCTGGAGGTGTGACACTTCTTCTCTCGTCCATAAATGGGCACCGGCAGCGCGATGTTTTTCAGGTATTGAGAAAACAGCACAATGAGGAAGATGGTCCTGGAACAGAAACAAATGAGGAAGATGATCCTGGAACAAAAACAAAGCACGCCCGATGTGGTGCACTGGGGCGTGGCTGGTGCGCGAGGAAGGTGAGCGAGTCTCGCAACCAGTGGCAGTGGTACCCCGGGAGGGCCCCCATCTGGACCTGCTCTGCAGCACAGGCAGAGTCCTGCCCTCTTGGAAAAGGTGGCTGTTCCCTTCAGAAGCTAAAAAGAAATCGCAGGCAGGGAAGTTAATATTCCCTGGGGGTAGAAACTGGGTGCATCCAGCTGTCAGATCCAAGCCACAAAGTCAGACACCATCTTCGCTCCAGGTCCTTCTGTGATCTCTGTGGCCATGATAGGGTTAAAAAGCAGGCGGAGGCCCTCCCTGGTGGCTCAGGAGTTAAAGCACAGCACTATGAAGCTTTCAGCAGCCACTGCAGCATGAGTTCAATCCCCACCCAGGGAAGTGACCCATGTGGCACGGCAGATGTCACCTGACCCGCCCTATGCTCCCCTCAGCAGTGTATTTCGTCAGCAGGCCCGTTCTGCTCCCCACTCGGTCTCTGATGAACCCTCTCACCCCCCCCCCACCTCTGGCCTGTACCCCTTGTAAGCGTAAATAAATAAATCTTTAAAAAATAAAATAAAAAGGGGGGAGGAGATGGGGTAAGACATAATGCATGGGCTAGCAGGAAACCTATGCACACATTGGTTACAAGCCTCGTGGGGAGCAGGTGGGTGATAAGGACCTGCAGGATCAGACGTCAGGGGCTCCTGGCAGCAGTGAAGGCCTGTCTATTGCTGAACTGTCTTTGCTCAACTCTATAAAGAGTCAGCTGGAAATGAAACATAAGGGCATGTCAACCTCCCATCTACCAGGCTGCTGGCTGACTGATAAAGTGCACCTTAAAGATTTAGTTCCTGTCTCTATTGGCATTTGATGGGGACATTTGGCCCAGACTCCAGTCTTCTAGTTATAGTCAGAATGGACGTGTCCAGTATCGTGACCCCCAAGTCCCTTCAAAGTGCTGTTTAAATGCTTAGGGCCTTTTCCCATAAAGCCTTCCTGCTTCTCTCACTGGCTGCCGTCCCCGTCACTCCCTCTCCCCATCACATCCAGCCTCTGTCTGCACTGCATCTGTGTCATGGTCCTTGGGGACCTGTGTCACTTCCCTCCCACACTATAGAGGCTGGAGAGATGGAGCCCCATCTGTGTATCCTTCCCAGGTGCTAGAGTGTGCAGGCATTTTCTCAGTGAAACTTAGTCGGCAGAGGACTGACAGCCACTTTCTGTGAACATTCTGTGGGTTTTACTAAACACTCCCTGTGACGGGCTCATTATCTGTGAGGACTAATATGATAATATGTAGTGGCCGTAACGAAGCATAAATACCAACGACACTGCTTTTTTAAGGCCTCCTAATGTTCATGACAGCATTTATGGAATTTGCCAATACCAGGTATTCTCACTGGATACTGTCCCACTGAAGAGGATTTAGGTTGGTGCTCCCAGCCCAGAGAATACTTACAGAGCAGCGATCCCCCAGTGGATCCCGGCATCGTTGCCTGCAGATTCAAACAGCGGCAGGGCCACGAGGGAGATGGTCGGAGCGATGGTCAAGGGGCCAATGAAGCGCAGAAGGAAGCCAATGAGGCCTGAGAAGCCCACTAGCATCTGGACACAGGAAGCCACCATGATAGCGCCCTGCAGCTGGACAGGAGAAGGGAGCTCTCAGCCCAGGCCTGGCCACTTCTAACTCTGGCCACCCTGGTTCAGCACACTCAAAGGCCATGGAGGGACACACCTGGCCCAAAGGAACTGAGGGAAGTGGACATGTGGCTCTCCATCTGGACTCCCAGCCGCCCCCTGGAAGTTTCCCCGAGTGTGAAGTAGACTGCAGAATTACTGTTGACCACCGAGATGAGAATGAGGATGGTGGTGACTGATAACACTGGCATCACTCAGTGGGCATCATGCTTATTCTTCTGTTTTCTTACTTTTTTTTAAAAGGTTTTACTTATTTATGCATACAGAACTGGGGTACAGGCTAGAGGTGCAGAGGCGGTGAGAGGATTCATCAGAGACAGTGGGGAGCAGAACAGGCAGATCGAAGAAGTTCACTGCTGAGGGGAGCAGCGGGCAGGTCAGGAGAGGTCTGCCGCGCCATGTGGGTCAGCTCCAGGGCAGGGATTGAACACGCACTGAAGTAGCCACAGCTTGGCTTAGCCTCGCAGTGCAGTGCTCCAACCCACTGCGCCACCAGGGAGGGCCTTGTTTTCTTACTTTCTATTGTAGGAATTGGAAAACTTTCTATAAAATACCAGAGAGTCACTATTTTAGGCAACATGGGCTCAGCGAAATTTTTCAGACAAGATGTGAATGAATGAGCCTAGCTGTGTTAAATAACTTTATAGCCACTAAAATGTCAACTTCAATGAATTCTGACAAATCTTGAGATACTATTCTTCATCTGATTTTTCCAAACATTAAATGTGTTAAACTAGGGGCCTCCCTGGTGGTGCAAAGGGTTAAGTCTCAGCACTATGAAACTATTGGCAGCCACTGCAACAGGAGTTCGATCCCCGAAGCCCGGGCAGGGAAGATGGCACAGCAGACCTCTCCTGTCTCCCCATTGCTCCCCTCAGCAATGTGTTTCAGTGGATCTGCCTGTTCTGCTCCCCACTCTGTCTCTGCTGAATCCTCTCACCACCACCCCCACACCTCTGGGATATACCCCAGCTCTTGTAGACATAAATAAACTAAATAAATCTTTAAAAAAAATTTCCAATCTAGCAATGTATTATTTTCTTTATCTCTGAAGAACTTCTTGAACATTTCTTGCAAGGTGGGTCTATCAGCAACAAGTTCCTGCAGTTTTTTCTGCCTGAGAAAGTATCTCCCTTCATTTTTGAGGGGCCATGTCACAGGGTAGAGTTCTAGGTAGGCGCTTTTCACTCTCAATACTTTTAATGTTTCACTCCACTCTCTTCTTGCTTTCACGGTTTCTGAGAAGTCAGATGTCATTATTATCTTTGTTCCTCTGGTGTAGGGTGTCTTACTCTTCTGCTTTTCTGTAGGATTTTTCTTTATCTAAGATCCTCTGTGGTTTGAAGATGCAATGGCCAAGATTAGTTTTTGTTCTGATCCTTGATTGCATTTTTTGCTTTTGGGGTGGGGAGAGAGTTGGGGATGCATTTATCCTGCCTAGTGTCCTCTGAACATCCTGGATCTGTGGTTTGGTGGCTGATACTAATTTGGGGGGAAATCCTAGGTCATTGTTTCCAATATTCCTTGTGTTGCTTCTCTGTTTTCCCCCTGGTGTCCCCGTTATCCATGTTACATCATTTATGTCATCCCACAGTCCTCGGATATTCAAGGTCTTTCTTTCATTTCAGTCTTTGTTCTCTGTTTTTCACTTTTCAAGGATCCTATTGATCGGTCATCTAGTGCTGAGTTTCTGTCCTCTGCTGTGCCCCGTTTACTAATGAGCTCATCAAAGGCATCCTTTGTCCCCCCACACACACAGTTTCTGGTCTCTAGCATTTTCTTTTGCCTCTTGCCTAGAAGGTCCCTTTCTCTGCGGACACTACCCAGTGTTCTTGCCTGTCGTCAGCGCGATACGTTACAGCCCTTACACACTAACCACAGTTACTTTAAATTCTTGGTCTGAGCACTGCAACATCATTTTTCTTGTCATTTTTCTAGTAGATAACCAGACACACTTACTGGGGGAAAAGAACTGCTGTAAATGGGCCTTCTGTAATTTGTGGTCAGGTGCAAGGATAGAGGAAGCTCACACAAGGCCTAAGTTCAGGCCTCAGGCTTCTAGGGAGTCTGGGCCTCTAGCTGTGACCTTCCTGAGGGCTTCTCAGATGTTATTTTCCTCCCCTGCTAGGTAGACAGGATGGCTAAGCCTGAGCTGGAGTGGATATTTTACCCCAGCAGACTAAGCTCCTGTGAGAGTCTTATGAGTCTTGGGCTGTGTGAGTCTTCCTAAAGAAGACAATGACATCTTTGCAGGGTAAATGAAGATGCTCAGGCTTTTGTACCGCTGGCCTCTGTGGCTATCGCCTGTGGCGTTGAAGGCAGAAGGGGCTTGGGACTTGGGGTCCGCATGCCTGATGGTGGACACCTGGAGTGTGGTGTGGGCGTGCGGAAGTAGGGGCACCCCAGCCTGGAGGCTGAGGCTGGAAGGGCAGAGAGTGGAGGACAGTGGCAGAGAATGGCTACCGGAGGACGCGTCTTGACTGCAAGAGGAAGTGGCCAGAAGATGATGCCAGAGCAAGCCCAGAGCAAGAAGAT